CGCTGGGACCCGGTGAGGAGCGCGCTCGGGCCGGGGCCGGGACTGGGCCCCGGGACCGGTGGGCGGGTGGGCGGGACCGTCGCTCCCTGTCGCCCCCGTCGGCTCGCGCGTACCTGGGCTCGGGCTGTCAGGCCTCGGGGAAAGGGACCCGTGTCCCATTGCACAAGGCGAAGGGAGCTGACCCGGGCCTCGGGGGGCGGGGACCGCGCCCCAGCCTGGAGAAATGAGCCGATCTCGAGGTCTAAGGGAGGGAGGCCCAGGAAGGTGACCCGCGTCCCCAGCTAGAGGGGAGACCAAACCCAGCCTCAGGAGGTGGTCTGTCCTCCAGGTTGAGGCGAGGCCAGTTTGGGCCTCAGAAGGGACGGTCTGTGCCAGGTGCTCAGCGGAGACCTGGCCTGGACCTCACTGCGAAGGACCCGCACCCACTACCAGGGGCATTCTTGGTTTGGGGCCGCACCCCTATTTTTCTTTGCCCTGGCAGATGGTCTAGAGCCCTCAGATAAGGAAGAAGAAGAACTTCCCCTAAACACTTCTCATGATCCCCGAAGGCCAAGGGGCAAAGTACCCACCCTTTCTCTAAGGCCCTGAAGTCTCTGAATATGGTCCTATCTGTCATTCTGTGTGACAGTCCCAGAGTGATCTGGGCTAGCGCTTTAGTGACAGGCCAGTTACCAGCCAGCCTGCTCCAGCACAAGCTTTAATGCCCCGAGTTTTCTTCTAACTGGGTTATGGTTGGTTGTGAGGATCAAATGAAGAAGAAAGCCCTTTGGAAACTAATTCCCCATCTTTACCAATCGCCTCTGGTTCTCTCTCCCACTCTGCACAAACCAGAGGAACCATTCCAGGTTGTAATTAATGCCCTGCAGATTGGAGCCTGGTGCTCCCACCTTGAACCCCAACAGGTTTCTAATGCCTTAGCTAAGTAGGGCAAGGTTTAGGGGCTGTGATAGAATTAACTTTAATATCAAACCTTATCTACATAGTGGACTTAGTTGTACAGCATTTCATTTTTTCAGTGCATAGAAAATTCTGTTTACCATTTGAATTTGGAAAGTTTGTAGGTTTGTTTACTTAGAACTTTTTTACATAGCTGAATGATTAAACTCCACCTTAATTTGCTACTTAAAGTACTTTTTAAAGACCCTCATGATCAAATTTCATATGGCTTTTAAATATAAATTGGTTTTGTCATATTAATATTATTTGATAAGCCCAATGTAAATATTACGCTAGGTTACTTCAGCTGTGTCCCCCAGCTAAAGGCATGATCAGGTCTTTAGGAATGTAACAGACTTCTGTTCAAATCCAATCTAATAATTTAACAGTTGTATAACCTTGGGCAAATTACTTAATTTCTTTGAACTTTCATTTCCTCATCTATAAAATGAGGGTAATAATAATTATGTGCTGCAAGATTGTGGTGAGAATGAAATGAGATAATGTATGTGAGAAGTCTTATTTTAGGCCTAATGCATTGTAGATATTCAAAAAATGTTTCTTCCCTCCTCTCCTGTTAGTAACTCATAATTGAAGCAACTGTTGCATTTATGAGCTGATATTGAAAGAGACTGTGTAACTGTGTGTACAAACTGAATTTCATGGAAAAGATCAACTTGGTGGTGTTAGGAACATACCAGAGACTCTTTCTTTGTTTGATTTTAGCTTTTGCAGGTTTGAAGACTTATCAGTTCACCCAGGATTGTGGAAAATTAGTTCTCACTAACCACATTTATATGACACTAAGGAATAAACCAAAATGTCACATAGATCTTTTCTGTTGATTGGAACATTTTCTTGTCTGCTGTTTGGCAAACTCCTTTTTTGGTGTCACGGTACTTTGGAAACCCAATTAATAACAAGAAGCTGCTTGCTGAGCATAGAATCAGAACAAAGGGAGTTGCTAGTCTTGTGGGATATTTCATCCAGGCTGTTGTAGAACCTAGAGAACCTTTCCTGCTTCTTTGTTAAAGCACACCGATCTAGTGCCTTGTGCTCTCCTCACTTGAACAATCATTGAAGCATTCTTCATCTTGCTCTGCTCTCCCTCACCCCATTTCGGTTTCTGACAATAATAGCTTGGAAATATATTTATTTCCATTTATTTTGGTTATATTAATGATAACTTTTATTTTTACAGTGCTTTACAGTTTGAAAAGTGCTTTCATAGCTCTTAGCTCATTTGATCCTCTGTGAGGTGGGCAAGGCATGTATTATCCCCATTTTACAGATGAGAAAAGAGGTTCAGAGAGCTTAAGTGACTTCATCAAGGTCTGAAGGCTGAGTGGTGAAATGAGGATGTCTGGGTCATCCGACTTCTAGTCTAATGCACTCCTCTTCATTTAAGGCTGACTTCATCCAGTCTGTGTTCATTCTTATTTGTTTCCTTTTCGGAAGATGTAATTTGCTAACTTTGTCACCAAGTTTTGGAGATGCTGCCAATATAAAGCCCAGGGATCTTTGATCACTGCCGGTAACACTTATGCAAGTGCAATCATTATAGCTAACATTTATTGAGCACTTACTATTAAGAGGCACTGTGTTAAGCCTTTTGTATACTTGTCTCATGGGATCCTCACAACAGCCTTATGAGCTACAGGCTGTTATTAGCATACCTGCCCCATTTTATAGATGAGGAAACTAAGCCATAGAGAGGCTAAGAAACTAGCCCAAGGTCATGCAGTTACAGAGTGGTAAAACTGGATTGAAACCCAGGCAGTTTTGTTCCAGAGCCTTAGCCACTGTGCTTTATTTCTTCATAAGTAGTTTGCTAAATTCAAAGAAAGCAGCTTTTGGAATGGAAAATTTTAGAATATAGTTTTCTAAATAAATCTTCTAAATTTATTAAAAGAATTGGTCACTCACCTTCTAACTTTTCTCTCTTGCCAGGGAAAAGAAACACATTTACTTTTCTCCACTTCTTAATCCCTTTTCTTTCATTTCCTCTGCTTCTGTCCCTTTGGCATCAAGTTCTTCAGAGAGATATAGATACCATAGGTTTGTGAAGTATATTCGGGAAGAAAAAGCATGGGACTGGGAGTTAGGAGACCTAGATTCTAGTCATGATTTAAAATCAAAGTCATGTGTCCTTGGGCAAGTCATTTGATCCAAATTTCTGTTTCCAAATTTCTATCATAAAGCTGGATTTGTGATACAATGATTGCTTAAGTGTATCTTGCAATATGCAGGGCTGATTTATCTATATGATTTAATTGGGTTAATTCAGTATGCCTTTTACCTCTTACCTTGATTGTAAATGTCTCATCACACCCAGAGTAGATCCTCTTGTACATAAGAAGTGGAGTCAACTCCAAGCAATAATAATATTTTTATTATAAATTTTTTGCTTTAATGAAAAATAGTTATCAGCTATTGGGTTTTAGAAATGACTGAGTTTCTGTTTAGTTTCTATCTGGAACTGCTACAAGGATTATCGGTACTGTTCAGCTCGACATTTATTGAATTCCTACATTGTGCTAGTTGTTGAATACTGAATACGGAGGAGATGATAATAAACCGGAGATCCATTTGTTCTAAGAGTTTACAGTCTAGTGGAGGAGACAGAGTAAATAACAAGTTGTTTCTAAGTCCTTATGCTAAGTGCTGCCTTATACAGAGGGTCTTGGGAACACAGAGGATGCATCCTACAGTCTAGGAGATTCCGGAAAGGCTTTCCAAGGAGGTCACACTTGACCCGAGGTTTGAACGATGAGTAGAATTTAGGGGAAGAGTGAACAATGAATTTAATATGTGAAAAGATTTTCAGTACTTTAAGAATTAGTATATGGTGATATGTTAACACAATTCATTAAAATGTTTGCTTTGATTTTCATAAGTGATGTTGGACTAGAACAGCTTCTTGCTTCAGTTTTCTCTCCTTAGTGGATTGTCTTTGTTCTTGGTGAAATGCCATTGCAATAAGAGAACATGTTGTAACTTTCCATTGGAATCACAGCCCATTTTACTCAACACCTATTCATAGCAGAAAAGATGTTTATTTTTTAGGCCAGTGTTCACTTAATGTTATCATCAAGAAGGAGTAAGGTTTTCTGTAGACAAATATTTTCCAGACTGTGTTTCCCCAAATCCTTATCTACTGAATATTGGTAGATGTTTGATTTTAAAAAGAGAGAGAGAGTTCTGGGGAAAAATAAGTTGGGTAAACAATGAATTAAAGTTAAGCAGGTTTATTTATTACGTGACTTGTTAGAGAATTTAATACGATAATGTACATTGGAATTTTAAGAAGGGAATATGCAGTTTCTTTAGCTTATGGAATCCTTTTTTTTTTTTTTGTGAAATAATCTTGTGAACCATCAACGGAATAATTTGGAAAGACTGCTCGTCTACACCAGGGTTTCTCAACCTCAGCACTATTGATATTTTGGACTGGTTACTTCTTTGTTGGGGGGGGAGGGGGCTGTCCTGTGCATTGTAGGATGTTTAGCTGTATCCCCAGCCCCTACCCACTACATGTCAGTAGCACCCCCCAAGCAGTGACAACCAAAAATGTCTCCAGACATTTGCCAAATGTTTTCTGGGGGACAAAATCTCCCCCAGCTTGAAAACCACTGGTCTAGACTGTAGGTTCCTTCAAGGCAGAGGCTCTGTCTTTTTCCTGAGTCCATAGTGCAGGTTAGACATTTAATAAATGAATAAATGTTTGTTAAATAAATAAACTAGACCTTATGATCTATTGTCCAGATTCTAAAAATACAAGGTTATAAACAAGAAAGTATATCATTATTGGTATTGTTTCACTTCTAAATTAGCAAGTAAATTGATAAATATAGCAGCTGTTTAATCTCCTCCTGTCTGTACAAACTAAAATAATGCAGGCTAATTTGTGGAGGATTAATGGATCATCTCCACCCTGAACAAGGTGATGGCCCCCAGAATTTAGAGATGGTCTTGTTTTAAAATGCATATAATTTTGTAAGCCTCGGTATAGATCTACTGATGCTCATAAAAGGTTTTGTACAGTAGCCTACCTCTGAGAGGAGTTCATCATACTATCTAATTTTGATGTCCCCCATATTCAAAATAATAGCAACATGGCAAAATATTTAGAAATCTAGAGAAGTTTAGGTCAAAAGACACTCCAAACTCTTTATGTCAGAATATGTTCAGTGAATCATAAGATCTCAATAATTGTAGCTATTGTTATTATTACCATCATGATCATGAAGGGAATATTATCCTTCATGACCAAATAGCACGTCAAATGTTTTTCTGTCTTTTTAGGACCTCCAACCAGCCTGTTTCAGCCACCTCGTCGTCCTGGCCTTGGAACTCTTGGAAAACCGATTCGACTGTTAGCCAATCATTTTCAGGTTCAGATTCCTAAAATAGATGTGTATCACTATGATGTGGATATTAAACCAGAAAAACGGCCTCGTAGAGTCAACAGGTAAGGATTAGAATGAGTAGACTTCAATATATTTAAATACACATAATTTATTATGTATCATATTGTTCTCTAAATTCTTTCAACATGTAGGCTTTATTTTTCTCTGAGATGGTGAGTTTCTTAATAGCAGGTTTGCTGTCTCATACTTAGGTTTCCTCCACAGATTCTAGCAGAGTGCTGGATACATCATTGTTCAATCAGTAAATACGTATTGAATGAAGAAGAAAGGTCACTCTTTCATTGTCCAAGGGTAGCAGAAATTTATAAGAATAGGGAATATGGGAAATAGAACTATCTGGAAATTCAAATTTTATTAAGTAGTGGTATTAGACATGAGCAAAATATAAGTATAAAGACAGAATCATCTTGGAGTATTGAAAAATGTAAGCTTAGAGAGATCTGTTTAATTCTAGCATTGTCCAAGAGGGGTCTAGATGATACAATTTAAGCATCGTGGTCTATATGGGAGGAATTTACCAAGTGTGAAGACATAGTCCTGTAATAGATATTCTTACAGTGCACTGAGAACACCCACTTTCCTTTTCTGTTTCCACATTGTGATAGTCAAGCAGTCCTTGATATTAAGATTCTTGCTTTTCTAAGAATGCCCTTGCTGTCAAGTGAAATGTTTTATACTGCTTGATTTTTTTTTCTCATTATAGATCAATAATTTGGCTTTCTGGTACAGTTCAATCTCATTCAAGCCCATAATTGTTTGGTTATTGTATAACTGAGATCAATTGTAATAGAAGTGATGTTCATAGCTAACATTAATCCATTTAACTAATATTTTCTTGGATGCTTACTATGTGCCAGGTATTGTTCTATTTTCTGGGAATACGACATGAACAAAACAGGCAGAAGTTCTTACCCCTGAGGAGCTTATATTCTTATGGGGGAAAAGACCAAAAATAAATGAATAAACAAACAAAACATATTACTTGTTAGTGATAAGTGCCGTGAAGAAAAATAAAGCAGGGATGGAAGATAGGGAATGGGGGTGGGGGTGAGCCACTGAGATATTATATATATATTATATATATGTAATATATATTAAATATATATAATATTTTAATAGAATGGTTGTTTTAATAGTATAGTTAGGAAAGGCCTCACTGAAAAGTGACATTTGAGGACAAACCTAGAGGAGGTGAGCAGTATCTGGGTGAAGAGAATTCCAGGCAGAGGCAGCAGCTTGCATAGTATATTCAGGGAACAGCAGATAGGCCTGTATTGCTGGAGTGAGTGACAGGAGATGAGGTTAGGGAAACTCCAGAAGGTCCTATCATACAGAGTCTTATAGACAGTCATAGACTTTAGCGTTCACTCTGATTAGATGAGTTTTGAGCAGACGTGATATGACTAACCTAGATTTTTAATGGATCGCTCTGACTGCTGTGGTGAAGGTGAACCCTACTAGGAAAAAGTGAAAAGCAAGGAAATCAATTACAAGGCACTTGTAAGGGTGAAAAGTGATGGTGGCTTGGACTTGGGTAGTAAAAGTGACAGTGATAAGAAATGGTCAGATTCTATGAGTATTTTGAAGGTAGTGTCAACAAGATTTGCTGATGGATTGAACATGGGGTATGAGAGAAAGAAGTGAGTCATGATTGATTGATTCTAGGTTTTTTGTCCTGAGCAAGTACAAAAATGGAGTTTCCATTTATCAGAATGGGGAAAACTATGGGAGAAGCCAAGAGGGCTGGCAGATCAGGAGAGCCGTTTTGGGCATTTTAGAGTTGAGAGGTCTATTAGACATCCTTGTGGAGATATTGAACAGGAAGTTGACTATATGAGGTTGGCTGCTGGGGAGAGGTCCAGGCTGAAAACAAATATTTGACAGTCTTCAGCGTATTGATGGGAAAGCCATGAGGCTGGATGAGATCATGTAGGCAGTGAGTGTAGTTAGAGAAAGTGAGATTCCAGGACTGAGTCTTGAGGTATCCCAATATTTAAAAATTGGGGAAATGAGGTAGTATCATCAAGGAGCCTGTCATGGAGAGGTCATTAGGATAGGAGAAAACCAGGACAGAGTGAGGAGGCAAGTGAAGAAGATGTGTTAAGTTGGGACAATTTATACTCTAATGTTCAAGAATCGTTGAATTTAGCAACGTGGAGCTCATTGGGGACCTTGATAAGAGTAGTTTTGGTGGAGGAAAACCTTAGTTGAGAAGGTTTAAGAGAGAAAGGAGAAGAGCAGTTAGAGAAAACTCCTTCAAGGGATTTTGATGCAAAGGGGAGCAGAGAAATGGGATGTTGAGACGCAGTGGAAGTAGAGTCAAGAAAGTTTAAATTTTTTTTTTAAGACAAGAGAAAGTATAGCATATTTGTATGCTGAAGGGAATAATCCAGTAGAGAGGAAAATTTTGATGATTCAGAAAAGAGGAAAATTCCTGGAGTGATATCCATGAGGAGACCAGAGTAAGTCAGTTGGCTTATGGTGTGACAAGCACTGTTCTAAATATTCTATGTATATTTATTCACTTAATACAACAAACTTTTGTGGTAGGTAATATGATTATCATAATTTTACAAATGAAGAAATTGACATGTGAGAGATTAAGTAACTTCTCCAAGTTCATACAGCTCTGACACTTAATCATTGTGTGACCAGGGACAGGTCCCTTTCTCATTCTGAATTTTTGTTTTTTTCCTCTTTAATATGAGGAGAATAAGCATTGCCCTACTTATCTCACAAGGTTATTGTGAAGATTAACTGAGAATAGAGGTGAAAATATCTCTTCACTGTAAAACTCTTTATGGTTATATTTTAAGAATGTAAGATGAGAAATTACCCTTCCAGTATGAAAATGTACAGTTCTTAAGTTAGCTTTTTTTAATTGAGAATATATGATACTACATTTCTCCATCATTTTTTTTCAGTTGCATGATTTGGTTTGAAAACATGTGACTTTCTCTCAGATTTCATTTGTGGCAATATTCATACCTTAGCTAGTTGTGATCTGTCCATCTTAAGCTGTATACTCTGGTTTTCCTGCAACTGCATTTATTTCAGGGCTTGCATACAGCGTAATGTGGCATATATGCAAGAACACTTAAGTAAAGCTATGCATACTTGATTGAGAGAAAGGCTTTCATTCTAAAAGGAAAGAAACTATGTTGGTAATCTTTATAGAATGAGGATATTTTACAACATTCCCTGCTCTACACTTCTACACTGCTTGGGAGCACTTTGGAATAAAACAAGTTAATATGCAAAATAATAAATTACCAACATTAGTCAAAGGGGTTGACTTATTCCTTTGAGTATGATGGATCTTAGATTTATTGACCTTCAGATTTCTGAATTTCTGCCCACTGTCTTTTCCAAAACCAGTATACTTGAATAAGGATGTTTATTTGGTAACAGACTTATCATCGTTCAATTATGAACATGCCAAACTTCAATACCTAAAATAGGTTATTCTTATAAGGCTATGTTTATCCTAGGAGAGGATTTTGGAAAGCAGGAGTTTGAGAGGATGCCATAAATTTTATGCCCTCTTTCCTTTTATTCCTCTTTTTTTGTTATCATCTTGTAGCTGCTTTTGTTTACTTGTCACTGCCATTCTTTAGTTAACTATTTTTTTTTTAATTATTTGAATCAATTGTAAGTTTAACTCTTACTTTTTCCAAGGAGTGTTGAACTGAATTAGATGATTAAGGTATGGTGATAATTTCTTCACTGTTCACCATTTCTCAAAGCTAACCTCCACTGTCTCCATTACTGTTAAGGGAGGTAGTAGATACAATGGTGCGGCACTTCAAGATGCAGATATTTGGTGATCGGCAACCTGGCTATGATGGCAAAAGAAACATGTACACAGCACATCCACTGCCAATTGGACGGGACAGGGTATGTGTTAACAGCAAGAAATATTTATTAGACTTAGGTCATTTAGTGGTAATTACATAGGACAAAAATGTTTCCCTTTCTAATAACAATTCAATTCTTAGAGCTGTTTCTCATCGTGATGATAGATTTGTTATTTTGTCTATATTCTCTTGTCCCTTAGTTAATCAATAATTGAAGATGAGATGAGCATTAGCATTTAGGTTGATTATGTAATCTTTACATATATTCCAAAATTTTCACATTGTTAAAGTGCTACCTGAGTCTGAACAATGGAGTTTTTATAAATTATAGAATATTATATAGCACCCACTTATGAAAATATTCATAATACCACAGTAACTTTTTTAAACATTTATTTTTAAAATTAGAAAAGCAAAATGTAAATATATACTCATTATAAACTTATTCAGGCAATCTAGAAATGTGGTGGTTTCCTGCCTCCCCATCTGCCTGCACCTCTCAATCCCATTTTCCTTTTTAGAGGAAACTACTATAAAAGTATCCTTTCAGATATTGTGTGCATTAGCTATTTATGCATATGTTTATGTATGTTCTTATTTGTTTGCACGTTGTTCTATGATTTATTTTTTCATTTAACAATATGTCTGGGAGATCTTTCCATTTCTGTACATTTAAATCTACCATATTTTTTAATGTAAATTTTTTGTTGTGGTAAAGTATACATAACATAACATTTATTGTTTTAACCATTTTTAACTGTACAGTTCAGCGGCATTAAGCATATTCACATTGTTGTGCAATCATGACCACTATCCATTTCTAGAACTTTTTTTCATCATCCCAAGCTGAAACTCTGTGCCCATTAAACAATAACTCCACATTTCCTCCTTCTCCAGTCTCTGTTAACCACTATTCTACTTTCTGTCTCTATAAATTTGACTATCCTAGATACCTCATATAAGTGGAATCAAATGATATTTGTCATTTTGTATCTGGCTTATTTCACTTAACATAAAGTTTCAAGGTTCATCCATGTTGTAGCATCTACCTTATTTTTAAGCTATTGTATAATATTCAATATTAAATTATTCACCTATTGATGGACATGTAGGTTGTTTCCAATGTTTTACGATTATCCAAAGTGTTAAAATAAATATCCTTATGCATATACTATATTGAATATTCCTGGGATCTTTCTGTCAGCCTTTGTAAATATGTGTATATATATGTATTTTTCCTTAGGTTGATATGGAAGTGACCCTTCCAGGTGAGGGTAAAGACCAAACCTTTAAAGTGTCTGTTCAGTGGGTATCAGTTGTAAGTCTTCAGTTGCTCTTAGAAGCTTTGGCCGGACACTTGAATGAAGTCCCAGACGACTCAGTACAAGCACTTGATGTTATTACAAGACACCTTCCCTCCATGAGGTTAGTACCTTAGTTTGAATTCTTGGCCACAAATGTCAGACTTCTTTTTGGTAGGTTGCACTGGAGCCATTGAAGGGTTTTTGCATAAGTCATAGTTCAAACTTGGTTTCAGTTTACAAAGTTGAGAGTGGAATGCAAGACCTTTCAAGTTTTTATTGTGAAACATGCAAACTCTTATTTCTTCAGGTACACTCCAGTGGGTCGTTCCTTTTTCTCACCTCCTGAAGGTTACTACCACCCTCTGGGAGGGGGCAGGGAGGTTTGGTTTGGCTTTCATCAGTCTGTGAGACCTGCTATGTGGAATATGATGCTCAATATTGATGGTAGGATGGAACTCTCTTTCCCCTTTACTCTTTTGGCTGTTTTTTTTTTTGGTCTTTCCCTTTCCCTGAAGCTAAGTATCCTTCTTTTCTGTTCATTAGTGTCTGCAACTGCTTTCTACCGGGCCCAGCCTATCATTGAGTTCATGTGTGAGGTTTTAGACATTCAGAACATCAATGAACAGACCAAACCTCTAACAGACTCCCAGCGTGTCAAGTTTACCAAAGAAATCAGAGGTAGGTATTTGCATTACTGTAGTCCTGGAGAGGCAGCTCAGCATGGTGCAAGGAACACAGCTGGGAGTCCTGCACGCCTGGGCTTCCATCCACCCCAGCCAGTTCTATCAATGGGACCTTGGGCAAGTTACTTAACCACTGTGAGCCTTAGTTTATTCATCTCTAGGGTAAAGATAATAATATGTATCTTGTAAGCTTGTTGTGAGAATTAAATGCTTAGACGTATAAAGCACATAGTACCCAGCACATATCAGGCACTCAGTAAGCCTTACCCACTTAAAAACTTCCATTTTAATGAAATGTGTTATTTTAATAAAATAACACAAGTTCATTTATTCTCCTTTTGGAATTTCTTTTCTTCTTTACTTGTTATTAGCTATCTTCTCTCACTAGAATATAAGCTTCTCTAGAAAGGGCTGTCTCTAGACCCGGTAATAAGTGCCAGGACATCGTTGATGCTTAGTAGATATTTATTGAATGAATTAATAAATTAAAGTAGGTTGCACATCTTAAGTCTTCTGGGTTCTAACTTTTTTCTGCTTAGCTGAGGCTTTTTGCCTTACATGATGAAATTGTTCCTATATCCTTGCAACTTTTGTCCTGTACAGTGTCATGGCTTTCTGAAGACAGCATTTGAACCTGTTTTTGTCACTTTGATTTTAATAAATACTGATGTTTTGACTTTTTTTTTAACTTCAGGTCTTAAAGTTGAGGTGACCCACTGTGGACAGATGAAACGAAAATATCGAGTTTGTAATGTGACTAGACGGCCAGCCAGTCATCAAACGTATGTTAACCACATCTGAAATGATACCATTACATTTTTCGTAACAGAGGAAGCTACTATAATCATCTGAGAAATTGGTATCCCATATTGTGATTTTCAAAATCACCGAGATCAATTTTAAGCACCAAAGCTTTAAAAAATATTTAGATATTTTTGAGAGAGATATTTATAAAACATATTTCGTGGCTTTAATTCATTCCACCTCTTAAACAGAGTATGCTAAACATAGATCAACTTTTATATAATGATACAGAGTCATCATTATAAGCATCATTTATTATACCGTTGTAATTCTCAGTGCTGGCCCGAAGGGTCTATTAAGGCCTCTAAGTCATATTAAGGCCTCTGTCATGGGAAGATTTGCTTTGTGATTTGTTTGGATTTTTCTCCCTCCGTTTGTAGCTAGCTGCCACTTCTTCTAGCTGCCAGTGTGTATGGCATGCCTCCAGCGGCACACTCATTTCCACTTCCTCAATCTCATTTTTCTAATCACCCAACTTCTAATCCACTGAACTCTGCCTAAGGAGAAAATATATATGAAAGTGCTTTTAAAATGACTATATATGTAGTTTTATTCTTGTAATCAAGATCTTTAAACTCATGTCTGACATAAATAGTGGCTCTTCTAAGTAAAGAGCGTGAGCTTAAATAAATAAACTTTACATGATTTTAGTTAGTCAGAAGCCTTTTGTTTGTTTGTTTGCTTATATTCTAGTCTGACTTTGGTTTAGATCCATGGTTCTCAATTTTTTTTAAAATATTTAAATACTTTTTATTTGGAAATGATCTATATATTTAATGAATATCCATTATTTACCTTTACTTAGTATAGTTTTAGGATTTCAAGTAACCAAAATAGTTTGTGAAACTATTTTTAAGTAGACATATTATAAAACATAGTCATTGTTGAGAGTTCATTTATAAACTATCCCACTTACATCTATCTATTTTATTCATTTGACTTAAAAATTACATTTGAATTGATCATAAAATTTATGAGCTAAACAAACAAATCTAGCCCTCATCCTAAGTTTTCTTTTG